TGCAAACCTAGTAACGCGTGACAGTATTTACAGTCTCATGACTTTAAGAAAGCAAATATAAATTATATAATGCAAATTTTCTATAATTAATGCAACCTGAACCATAAATTTCAAAGAAATATGTCATGCCATAAAAGAAAACAAAACCTCCAGAACGGTCATGTATATGTATATAAACACAACATACTTTTAGGCATTAGCCTCGCAAAACAGCCTCGGCACATGCTCCCCATTTGGTTCTAGAAACAGTAATGAACTCCAATTTCCAATTTCAGGTACAAATAATTTCGATCACATGTTAGCTTTGAAAACTTTTTGTCGGAATTAATTAGCTAGCAGCTATCAGCTAGCTAGCCCTTTTATTTTTTGGGAAAATCGTAAGCTTTGAAATTTTCATGTCTCATTCGTGAAACACACGATGCATCTTAGAATTGTACAGCAGATACACTGGCATTCTCTCATATTCTCTTAAATTGTTCTTACGGAATTCCACTCTATTGCAACTTGTTCTCAAACTGGCTTGTCTTTTTGCAGAAAACAAACTCAAATCAGCTTTTATTTATTAAAGTTGAAAACTTTGCAGCGCCTGACATGCACCGAGCGCTGCGGCATTTGTTTCGATCCATAAAAGCCGTTGGGTCAAAGGTTGCCCCTTTAAAAAGAAAAAATCAATTCAATATTTTTATTTTCATATATAAAATGTGAGTTAAATAAAGTTATATGAGTGTTGTTTTTAAAGAAGTACCATGCATTGAAAGAGAGGTATTTTATTAGGTATATTATATTTAATGATTAATATATAAAAATATAAATTTATATGAAACAATATTAATTTTGATAATATAACACTAAAGTGATTTTTTTGATTGTTTTACATTGTATAACTCTTACCTTTTTACATATATATGTATTCAATCCAAGTGATCAAGATAAGAAAGCATGTTCCCCTATTAGAAAATAGTATTTAACTGATAGAAATATAATTGATATTTTTTTTTACTATCGATTATACACATATAATCAATAAAACTTTATCAATTACGATAATATAGTCAATTATTTAAGTATAATCGACAATCAATAGTGACTATCAATTATATTGGTTGTTGATTATACATATGTAATCGACAATCATTATTGATTGTCGATTATATCAAAATTTTATAGATATATATGTTAATATTTAACACTTTACTAGTAATATCTATAAATATATTATATAAATCGTAAATCATAAATTTTGTAATAAAAATTTAACACTACCAAATATAAAACTATTTTTAGTTAATATTATATATGTACACATT